GTTAAATACGTGCGGCGAATATAAACGACATGGTGTGTCCATGCGTCCTTGTCGGATTCCCTCATCAAATTTTATCATTATGAATATGTGAATTTGCCTTAACAATGTATAATGTGTAGGTCATTTTACTACAACCTAATATTATATTACATATACTCTACTTTTGACGAGTATATGAGTATATCGCTAAATAGGTCTACATAATTAACTGATTAAGAATATTGGATAAATAAATCGACGTGAAAATAATTATGACATTTATCTGATGTTAATGTAGCTCTTATAACGGGGTACTTGTGAAAAGACAAACTTTAGTTGCAAGACAAGTCCGCCCTCGATCATAGAAAACCATTTATAAAGAATTGTATACAAGCACGAGGTGGGGCGAAAAAAAAAAATTGTGCTGTTTCAAATTGAGTTCCACTTCAAATTGTATAATGGTTATGCCGGTCCACAGCTTCAAAATGCATCGTATAACCGGAAACTTTTCAATTTTTTTTTCAAATCTCTTCAAAGTCAATTAAGTCTACTTGGATTAAATCGAAAAGCAAGCCGGCATATTTTTGTTATTATTCGGGCTTTTAAGTGTTTTTCCAATATATTAAGACTTGAAGCTATATATCGGCAAATTGCATTCCAACTTGAAATCTTTTCCTATTGAAATCAAACAACAAGCACAAATATTTGATGCAAAAGGAACGCACCAACTATATATATATTAGATGTGCATTATAAACAAACTCTGTAACAGTTTTGATAAAATTCAACTGTGTGTACTTGTTACAAACACAATAATCGTAATATTCACTGCCGTCATTGTCTACGATTTTTTACTTTTATCGGGTATATAGTCATTGGCATACTCTCGCACATCTTCGATTTCAATGAGCTGCTTATCTGCCAAATATGGCCGCGTTGATCTGAACTGGTGTGAACTAGTGAACTAGCGAAGAAAACAGATTTGCAGAATAATGCCCAAAGCAGTCGGGAGGAGATCGGTTCTCAGTCCAAGTTAAAGATAACTTCTTGAGTTGCTTTTGCTGGACCTGGACGGACATATAACAATTTTATCGTTTTCAGGACTAAAATTTTTCGCACGAATTCTGGAAAACCACTTTCTAATTGTTTCATAGCTTTCTGCTCGTTTCTCATAAACTTTATAAATTATTTGACTTGGTATGTGGCAGAGATGGGACAGACACTCTTCACTTCACTTCACCGGATATTTAGTGGAACGAGACATTGCTGCACTGGTCTATTTATTTTCGTACCTTTCGACGATACTAAAGACGCCAATTTCTTTTTTTCTCCAGAAATGACTACGATATACGAAGAGCAGCAAAAGGGACATCAGCGTCAATCTCTACAGCCCGTTTTACATTCAAAATTTTTTTCTTCTTTTTGTCCTCTTTAGACAATACTTTGAAGAGACAATTCAAAATAACGAGAATCGTATCCTTTTTTTCAATTCGAAGACTATTTCGATATTTTACGATTATATTATTAATTGGATACGTAGCCTTCACCTAGCCTGGCATATTGAATGGTCTTCTCCTTTATGAAAATCGGTACATTTTTAATCGAACCTTCTTAGATACGGATTTACTGAGTATTTCTATTTCATTATTTCTTTGCGTTCTATAGCTCGACTGGGAATTGGAATATCCCCGTCTTGTGAAGGATTTGTTGCATCACATTAGCAGATTAATAGATAAGAAGCCAGTAGTCACAGGTTCAAATCTCAAGTGCGGTAGAATTCATTTTACTCGTAGCTATGTGTTCAGTGCTCAGTCGGTAAATACAGAGACGCGAGTTTTTCTTAATCAGCGTGAATAGCGGAATCCATTCTTTTTTCTTTTTGCCTCTATGGAAATGACGATTTGAAAACTTTACCCAAGAGCTACTTTTCAAAAAATCGGCCTATACGTAAAAGTCAAGAACGCTTGGGTGACAACACAAGGACAGACATAGTTACATCGATTTTAAAAGTGATTCTGAATTGATTGTCATAGCAAAAAGTGGAGCTATCTTAAACCCTTCTGCGTGTTGCATGCACCCGTACAAGTTTAATATTTTCTACACCACTTTGATTCACGATCGTCTTCTGAATCGATTTAAGTATTACCTGATGCTTTCCATGCGTTTTCGTTTCGTACAGGACAATTTCTTTAGTTATTTTGAAGATTTCGGTACACTGACGCGCTTTATCCGAAGAATGAATCTCATTGAAAATCGCCTAATTCCGACCACTTTCATGGCCTCTCTCCATGAAACGTCGCACTTTGAAACAGTAGGTTCATCATATAATTTGTAATTTTCAAAATCTCTTGGAAAAAATTGCTGAGTGTAAGTGTCTCGGCAGACTAAATTGATGCGAATAGGTTGATGGCTTCATCAATCTTCGTCTATTTAACCGTTTCTACGAAAAGTAAGCTTTTTTATGGGAAGGCGCTCTAGTTTTTAATATTCTACAATGAGACGTAATAGTAAAGATATAAAAAATGACATCAAAATCGACGGTACCAAATGTGGACAATATAGGTCTATTTTCCGGTCCCTACGTCGTATAAGAATATTCAGTAAATAAGTAAGTCCTCATCTAACAACAAAGTCTAATTTTTAACACTTTATGACGAAAGTAGATGAATAATGCTAAGGTCATTGCAAAGAAGATTAATTCCGCTAAGTTTGAGCTACGACAGCCCACGTCTTGAGTCTTGCTCTATATAAATGCCAGCATGAAAACTGTGCAAACTGAGTATAACTTTTAGTAATTTATCACGAAAGTGAAGAAAAAGAAGAGAGTGAATTATTGGTGCGGACCTTGTCCGACTACAATATTTTTACTTGTTTTATTTTCGTTAAGTTCGAAGTTGTTTCATTTAACAAAAAATTTATGATATTTTTTTATCCTATCTTAACCTCAAACTTTTCAAAGTTCTTTATGTTCTTAAAATTCCTATACCAAAAAAAAAAAAACACTATTTAGAAGCATTAGATGCTTGCATGTATTTTGATCAGCGATATTTATTGGCTGAAAATGATAAAATAATGCGAAGTGTCAATATCAACAACGGTTACATAAAATAAGAGTCTTCCGTTTATTCAGGTTATACAGACGTTAAGCATGGAACGTTTCAAATTGCATTTTCAACATTAATTAATTTTGTTGTTTAATATTAAGAAATCTGCTATCGAAGCCCATCACAAATTTTTAGAAGGCTATGGTGATGCTGCTCCACTATATCGCAATTAGCGGTTTAGGTTTCAACGGTTTAAAAAGGGTGGCTTTGGTGCCCGTGAAAAGGAACGGCTGGGAAGACCAAACAAATTCCAAGACAATGAATTGTAAAAATTATTGGTCGAAACACAGCTCAAACTTTTAAAGAACTTTAAAACAGCTTAGCAGTTGCTTCCAGACGTTAACATGTGATGGGAGAAGGATACAAAAGAAGAGAACATGGCTACTGTACGAAATGACTGAAAACGACATTTCGATTCGTTTCAACATCACGCTTTTATTGCTTGTCAAAGGCATTGTGACTGGCAATGAAACGACGACTTATCACGACAATCCCATGCGCAAAAGATCTTCGATTAATCATCAATCAAATATTCAGGATCATAACGTTTTGCTGTGCGTATGGTGGGATCAGCCGTAGGTGTAGTTTATTACGAACTACTAAAACGGAATGAAATAGAGCGAAGCCGATGTCCATCGATGTCGATGAAACAAATTGAACGATGCCTTGTCGCAAAAAAAAAAAAACAGCAGCCATAGGGGTTGAAAGACGCAAAGTCAACGTTCGACCATGTATTGGAGAAGTTCTCAAGGATACAAAAAGTTTTCTTGCATCCAGCATCCAGGAGACATAGCGCCTTCCGATTACCACTTATTCAAATTGATACATCATGGCTTGTCTGACAAGGGGTTTTGAAATGCTGACGAAATTGCAAAATGGATCGATGCTAAACCAATATCGAACGTTCTTTCGGCATGGTGTCGCCATATTGCCAGAAATATGGGAAAAAGTTGTAGGAAATGATGGAAAATATTTTGATTAATATACTGTAGAAGGTCAAAATTCGCATATTCGAAAATATTGACATTTGGAACTATTATATTTAATATTATTGTCATTATTATGGCTAGTGTAATGTATTCATAAATTATACAATATACGATATTATTATTATAAGTTATTGAATACCTTTTTTTTTTTTTGTTTCAACACAAACTACTGGGGGGGTGTAAAAAATTCGGATTGTGCCGAATATAATTGCTTTAGTCTTTCTTTTCTTATTTCATACACCTGAGACCATTTAATATCAGCGATTTTAACGTGGAAACCTTTACCGAAATTTCATATATGTATGTAAATCAATAAAGTAAACAATTTTGAATTTATTTTACAATAACAATTAGGTTTACGCATACATGAGGAAATATGAGCATGACTAACTGTAATGACAACAATTACTAGAATACGTTTACTTCTCTTACAAACAGCTGACTACATAGAACGCGAGTGAAGTCGCGTGTTAAAGCAAATGCATTCAAAATAAAATCACTTACAGGTAATTCAACCTGCTTGTTTAAATTGATTTTATTTATTTATACGAAGACGAGATAAAGTGAAAAAGGAAATTTTTCGTGAGTTGGACAATTGGAAAACAGACGCGAAATGTGTGAGCGATGCGCAAAAATTTGTAATGCAAGCTTGTGCTTGCTATAAAGAGTCAGCAGAGCCAAAAGCAATGAATTCGAAAAAGATCTTTCTCTACAGAGAGAGTAAGCAAATGGGAGAGATGATAGCTAAGCAATTGCAAGAGAGTTTTGTTAAATTAAGTGGTTTTAACACTAAATAAGAAAAGCTACAGTTTTATAAACTTAGTTGGCAAACAACTAGGCAGTTGTTGAGAAGCAATGTTAACCTTCTAGTTTTTATTGGAAGAAAAAAAAAAAAAAAAACAAAAATCGTAACAGTGAATATATTTGCTGCAAATCTTTGTTCATTAAAGACAGTTAAATTGGTTGGTCAAAATAGCCAAACAATAATCAAAACTATAAGCGTGTAAGTATTTTATATATATATATATATATATATATATATATATATATATATATACTGTACTGTTACTGATAACATCGTTATTTTTTTTTTTCACTTTTATTCAGTTTATGATTAGATTTTGTAATAATAATATATACAATAGAAATGAGGAAAAACAAAAAACTTGAAGTAAACAAAGGAAATTTTCATATAATTTGAGGAAAAATTTATAAACTTTACAATTTCAATATTCTTTCTCTTACTTCCATTATTATATAGCGATTGATAACAATAAACAACACATTTTCCAACCGAAGAGCGATATAACTATTAGTATTTTTGATTATTGTTACATGCTTTCCTTAGGTGTCAGTATGAAATCAGAATTCCAAGCCTACATTACATCGGGTAAACGATATAAGTAATCGTGCTGAAATATAACTGTATTAAATCCAAACCTAAAAGAAAGAAGCAACCACATGTAAGTCACTTGGTAAATACTAACTAACAAAAAGAAGAAGAGAACAAGCTATTTATTCATTCTATTAACATTAGTAGCCAAAAACTGTCTGTCAATATGACGGTTTACAATGAAAACAATAAGTCCATTGAATTAATGGAGAATTTCTATGTTAGTAACAAGAACAAAAAGAAACACAATTTAAAAATCCAAGTAAAATTAAACGATACTGGGATATATTTGAGACATGAAACAACAGAAGGAGGTCACTTCACGGAACAATTAATACGCCTTGAGGACATTGTGGGAAGTAACTGTGATAACCATATACGAAAACGACTTCGCGGTGGATTAGGTTCTTGTAAACGAGATCGTGATGATGATGAAGCCCACCATCATAGTGAAAATAATGCCGATAATGATTCGAAAGATTTGAGTGCCTACCTGTATATTTTTGCCTACATACGGAAGGAAAAGCCTTTAAAACGTGAACGTGTGGTGCGAATTTTGAGATTTAGATCATTCCTAAGCTTCGAAGAGAATTTAAAATGCGCTGAACGTTGGCATAATGCCATTAAAGTAAACAAGCGAGCCTCTGATGATAGAAGACCTCTGCTAATACTTTTAAATCCCAAATCTGGTTCTGGCAAAGGAAGACAACTATTTCAAAATGAAGTCGCTCCGATTCTAAAGGAAGCAGAAATACAATATGAATTTATAGTTACTACGCATACCAACTATGCTCGCGATTACATCAGACAACGCAAGGATATCGCACAAAGTTATAGCGGCATTGTAGTGGCTTCGGGTGATGGTCTCTTTTTCGAAGTACTTAATGGTATCATGGAGCGATTAGATTGGCGTCTTTTGACCCACCATTTACCATTAGGTATTATACCTTGCGGTTCAGGTAATGGCTTAGCAAAAACTATAGCCCATTTATACAATGAACCGTTTGAGCCGAAGCCCATTCTTCATGCAACATTAGCATGTGTGTCGGGTAAAAATACTCCTTTGGATGTAGTCCGCATTGAATTAGCTAACGGAGATAAATATTTAGAAATGTACTCCTTCCTCTCGGTAGGCTGGGGCTTAATCGCCGACATTGACATAGAAAGTGAAAAATTGCGTTCAATAGGAGCTCAAAGATTCACCTTGTGGTCTATACATCGTCTATTGCATTTGAGAGCGTGCAAAGGAAAGGTATCTTATTTGCCTTGGCGGCAAAATGAATCAATTACCAAAACGAGAACGGAGGACATATCAACTAAACAAGCAGTGAATGAAGAAGCAAAAGCACCGCATTCAATTCTTAAGCATTATCACGATTTTCAAGAGGAGGAAAATGACTCTGATACTATACTGGAGAACAGTGAATTTGTTGATATAATTTCACACTCAAGCAGAAAATACAATGGAGATAGTTGGCAATCAGCTGAATCACGTAGAACTGCGTATTATTCCTTGGCCGGCCAAAGCACGCGCTCACAGCGCAGCATTACTGCCAGTGTTCTTAGCAAAATTGAAGCAGCTAATACAGAACTCGAGGCAAAAGCTCTTCAATCGCATTTACCACCTTTAAAATCACCACTGCCAGCAGATTGGAATACTGAAGAAGGAGAATTTATTATGGTTCATGCTGCTTACACTACGCATTTAGCAGCCGATTGCTTATTCGCTCCTGAATCTAAATTAAATGATGGGATTATTTATTTAGTAATAATTCGTGCAGGCATTTCACGGGTTCAGTTATTGAATTTTCTATTAAGTATGAGTTCTGGGACTCATTTGGACGAAGCTCCTTCTTCACATGTTCAAGTATTGCGGGTAACAGCGTTTCGCATAGAGCCTCATAACTCTGATGGTATTATAACAGTCGACGGCGAACGAATGGAATATGGATCCATACAAGCGGAAATGTTTCCAGGCTTGATAAAAGTAATGGTACCCAATACAAGCGTAATTAAGGCCGAATGCATTGATGAATATGATCAGAATAAGGGCGCATGCGAAGTAAATGAAAATCCTTGATTGTATTATATATGTAACAGTATGCAATGATAACATTATTTAAATTTTTAATATTCATTTTTTTTAAATAAATCAATGTGAAATTATTTTGTGATATAATAACTAAATGTTTTCAATTATTTCTCGATTATTTTTAACCTAATTTTTTTCTTGATAAGATAAAATTTCCAAATTTCATATTATCGATATAAGTGCTAGATGAAAGGATCAGACCGCACTATTCGACCCTACGAAATTGCAAATAATTTATTTGTGTAGTGAAAAAATTAGCCTTGTTAGCTATTCAAATTTTTAACGTCATTATTTCTTCTCATGTATTCTTCAACGAATTCAGATATATTTTAATAATCGAAGACTTTGAACTTGATTTGTTTTATTACAATTATTACTTTCCTATAGATAAATTTTTTTCTAAATAAATTTTAAAAAGCTTATCTCATTTTTTATGCTTAAGACTAAATGAATGAAAAGTAAATCCTAAAACTATGCTAGAAAATATTAAGTAATAATACTTGCTATATGAGTAATTATCCAATACCACAAGAAGTAAATTGTAATATACCGTTACAAACATTTAATTATATATATTAAAATATATGCATAGTGGATTACGTGAATTATTTTACAGAAGAAAGGGCGATGTTTCCTTCTGTGTGCACTCCTGCGCAGCGTAATTATGTAATTATGATATATAAAATACAACGATTAACCACAAAGGAGAAATAAAGGGATAAAAAGAAGTATGACTTTGAATAGATATTTATACCCACCTTTCACGGAAATTTAGCAGAATGCTAGAGTTGCCATTATTATTGTTTAAAGAGACATACAGAAATGCTTACAGGAAATTTCATAAGAAGTATAAAATTTAATTTTTTTTCTAAGATCCTGCTTAGAGTAAATTGTTGTGTGTCGCAGAACTTAACACAACGAACTAAAATTTATTGTTCATTTTTAAAACAGTTATAGCTACAAGTTGAAAGCATACATGCTTTTCTCTCTCGATCTGTGAAACGTTCGAGCAGTTATGCACACGCAAAAAATGAACGAAAAAATTGGAAGTTTATTCTAAATATTTATTAATATTTTACGTACGATAATTATCAAGTCAAATCAACTATGACTCCCACCATGACAGTTAGATCCAAAAATATAAAATAAAAATTTATTCTTTTTCTCCGCTTATCTTGTAGACAGTTGCACAATATGCGAGAAAATCGGATTAACTAACATAGGGCTTCAATTGGCACCGTCCGTTCTGAGCTTGTTTTTTTTTTATATTGTTCATAAGCCGAGTTGAGAACTCCAAAAAATATGAATACTTAAATTAATACATGAGGCTTTGATATCAATATTTTTAATTATTATCTATTTCCCTCGATGTCTATGTCATTCTTGTTAAAAGGTATATATATATGTATATATAAACATATATATTTCCTTCTACGTTTATTATGCTTACACTGAGAAGAGTGGGCAATTTTATCAATAGAATATACGCTACTTTAAAATGCTTGAAATGATTTATGGTTTTTATATTGCAATTTCATCTTCCATACTCGTCTTCTGAGGCCAGACTCTTTTTCAATCTCAATAATTTAATGAGTAACTCAAATTATCGTAAAACCAATCTACAATTTATTCACAAGATACCTTACAGTCTGTAAAAGTGACTGTTTGCCGTCGTTTTTTGGATAGTGACGTGATGGACCCTTATTTCTTTAAAAGTAATATATTATAACCGAAATAGTAAATGTGTTGTTCGCATGTTAAACAATTGATTACGTGAAAATTCCGATAACATCATAATTGCAAGAAATTGGAATAACGTGCAAGCAGCTGCGATTTTTAACACTCTTAAACTATTTCTTGTAGATGCATTTGAATTCGTTAGTCTATCGGCAGTCAAACAAATTCGTTTCGTGCGCGAAAATTGAATCCATCGGCTTCCTTCCAATAAGAGAAGTCTTGGCAGCAATTTGATTAATGTTATGTTCAGAACTTAAGATTTGGAATACAATTCAAAGTATATGACAGTAAAGAAATTTAGTTAAACGTTTGTGTCTATGGAACGAATCATAGATATGTACTCGCAAAAACGATGTGTTTTCGTTCATAGTTAAGACGGGGTATCCCATTGTGCCGCTTAAAAATATTTTACATTAGAATATTAATATGAATTTAATAAGTTCGCCCTGTGTTGTTGTACTCTTTTTTCTTTGGGAATTTTTCGTTTTATAAATTCAAAAAAAAAATTAAAAAATAAAATAAATAAATAAAATATTAATTTGACTTTTACGCTTACCTATCATGTTACATATTTATATTGCTTTTATTTATTCATTTTTTACATATTTATATTTCAACAAGCAATAGATGCAGACTATTCGAGTCGATTCGATCTAAACTAAAAACAGTTCTTTTTTCTTTTCTTATTTTTTCATATAATTTCGGTTATGTTACGGTGTAATAGTTTTGTGGGCTCACTTGAAACTGGTGCAGAAATAAACATTAGAGACTTCATAAATTGCATATAGTAAATTTTTGAGGGCAGGACGAGCTTCTAACACGTCCATAAGCTTCGCCAAGTATCAGGTGTATATTGTTGGAAAGCTATAGCTCAAGCTACAAATATGAAACTTGGTGCATGCACTCTTTGTTGAAATAATTGACATAATTAATTCAATTATGTACTGTTCTGGTTAAACATTTCGGAAAATCATGAAAACTGATTTGAACTATGCCCACTAATATATCACGAATTAAGAAAAAAATAAATGATTATTTTTATATATTTAATTTCGATTGTTAATTTAGGTGAATGCAATTTTCTTACTTTTTATTTTAATTTTTGATGGACACGCTAGATGGACACTCGATTCAGATGCATTATATAGAATAAGAAGGATTAATTGAGAGTACGTATTAGTTTCAATTTGCCTTCCCAATTGGTAATGGCTAATGCTAATTAAAAATAGATGCATTTCGTTTATAGATCCTCCAGAATGTCTAAGATACGACAACATTAATATATTTACATTCGATGTAAACGAATGTTACAAATATCAAGAGCGATTGTATTATGTTGTCAATCTTAAAAGTGTTTAAATGTATGCTTATTATATATTGCTTTATTCATGTATTTCATATGGTAGACAGTATGATGCACTTGCGAGCACAATAATGCTAAATTGTAAATACATACAATGAATACGTATACGTACGGAATATGGCAACGTCGTTTTTCCAGTCTGATTCATTCATAAGTTTATGTGAGCTAAACTAGCTGCTTGCATACCACATTACTTACATGCATACGTTTGCATGGCTTAATGTCTTTTTTAAATTTATATATATAGGTAAATAAATAACTATAAAAATACATTTATATGCATGTATGCGTATATATGTTTTCCTCTATAGCGTACACGATTATAGAATGTTATTTCTTATTATGTTGTCGGTATACTTAGATGCACGTATAGCGAAATCGGCAATTGTTGTGCTATACAGATATAGGGTGAAGTTGTGCGCACAAAAAGAAATAATTATTATTATTTTAGCTTTTATATATACCAACGATCGAAGATTAAGAATATTGCATGTCTCTCCGTGCGTTTGCAACGTCCGGAAATACGCAGTAGATAGCCTTAACCTTAACGTATTGTATACATTTCAAATTAAATTGATCAATTTAGGCATAAAGAGCTTGCATATCTCACCATTTATTCTATGTCCCCGTAGGGGACTCTTAAAATTTCATATGAAAATCTAAAAAACTGGCACATTCTCGGTTTCAAAAATATATGTAATTAATAATCATAGATCACGAACAAAAAGGAAAAAGGAAAAAAGAAAAGAAAAGAAGTAAGCGGCTCACAAACTGCTTTCAGGGTGTGATCATTGAAAAGATTCATTTAAAAGTGTTCCCGATCGCCACAAATAAAACAATATATTATGCAGTTTTGTTTCATTTAATTGCAAAGATTTGCTTTAAGAGCGAATTTAATTTTGCATCTTCGCTCTTACTAAATAATCTTATGTGTATTCTGTTTCTTTTAAACAGCAGTAGCAATTTGGAGAATCCACCGTGTCCCATCATAGACATAGTAATCATAATAATAATAAAGAATATTACTATGGCCTGAGAGAAATTTCAAATCAATTTCAATCTGAACTTAACTGCGAAAGAGAAATTTCAAAGAGGGTAAGAAATCAATATTTTATTTCATAAATAAATTTATTATCACTCTCTTGTAGGGGGATTTCAATGCGTGCATACATATGAAGGTAGATGCTGTCGTGTGCGCTAACAAATCGATTAGTCAGAAACCTGTTTACGTGTACAGAAAACGTTTTTAGAAAAACGTACTCAGCTACACTAACACATTAATACTAGTTACGATACAAATAAAAGCTGTTGCTGTTGCTCTTGCTGTTGTCGTCGCTATTGCTGGTTCTTTCTGGTTTTAAAGTATTTACGTGTTTTCCTGCCAAAAATAAACCAAAAAAGCCGTGAATGTTGCGCGTTTTTATGAACGCCAACAGCAGAGCGTGCTATTATCTCTCTACCCTTTCATCATCTTCGTTTCTTTTAAAAGCATCTAACAGCAATTCACATTTGTGCTTGGTTGGTTGCCTTTCAAATGCCAATAAAGCCACCCGTTGCTGGCTATAACGTGCGCTTGTCTACTACTTCTAAAACTCTTCTACCGAAAATAGTCAAAGAATTACGAAAAATACAAATAAATAAATAAATAAATAAATAAATAAATAAATAAATAAGTAAATAAATTTAAAAGTATGAAATTCTGCTAACTTTAGTTTTATTGTTATGCATATGCTTATACATGCGAAGGTTTTTTTAGGTTGCAGACGCCTTTTTTCCAACCATTTATTTAACAATTTTTTTTTTAATTCATATTTTTAAAGAAAAAAATTAAGAGAAAAGTTGCCCGCTTAGTGAACCCAATAACGTACTTACTAACCGGTCCACAATATTTCACACGTTTCTTTTTAAAGTATTTAATATATTTATAATAATAATAATTTTTATTATAATTTTGTACTCTA